TTGCAATATGGTGTTTATTTATAAAACACTTATTTTTTACAGTGTGGAGATGCTTAAAAAACAATTTTATTTGTTTGCAGACAAAGATCGAAGCGAAAAAGCATCGAGATCCACAAAAAATATTAAGTAGAATCCACGAGCAAAGAATGGTATGAAAAAAGAATAACGTATTATTTTTATTTATTTTTTTTTTTTGTCAGTTAAAAATACTCTCCTGTTTCATTTCTTTAAAAAATTAACAAACTGTGTTGACGTTCTTTTCAGCGGGAAATTGAAGACAAAAACAAACGTAGACTGGTGTAAAGTAGGAGAGGAAACGGGGCATGGGAGAGAAAGAAGGATGGGGAAGATATTGGGGGAGGGAAGGGGATTGGGAATGGGGGACGGGAAGGAAAGGGATGGGGGATTGGATGTAAGGGGGTGTGATGGAAGGGAAGATGATGGGAGGGGAGGGAATTGGGAGTGAGAAGGATGATGGGAGGGAAAGGGGATTGGGAGGGAATGGGAGATAGGAGGGAATACGGATGGAAGGGAGATGGGAGGAAAGGGAGATTGGAAAATAAATAAGGGAGGGGAAATGGGAGGGAAGGGAAATTTAGGGAAATGGAGAGGGGATTTGGGATGACAGGGAAGGGATAGAGGTTAGGAGATAGGGGAAAGGTGTGGGAGGGTCAAGGGCAGGGGGATGGGAGGGAAGGGAGGGGAAAAGTAGAGGAAACGGGGGATGGGATGAGAAGCAGGATGGAGAGAGGAAAGGGTGTGCGGATGAGAGGGAGAAGGGAAAGGTATACAACTGTCGAAAAGGTTTCAAGTGTTAAAAGTTAGGAGATATAAGTTGCATTACACATTATCATCAAGGGCAGAATTAAAACAAATTTGTTATTAAATCTGTATTGTTAATTTATTGGTAAATGCCATCCTCCCTTTAAAGAATATCAGCTATCTCAAAATTCAATCCCGTTACGTAAGTAAACGCTTGTAATTGTTTTCTCGTAAATCTTATTGGTCAAATATAAAAGTATTTCTTAACTGATAAGAAAATGTTTACAATCACCGGTGAAGAAGAAAATCGAACCTTCTTTAGTCGATATTGAAAGCTGTACATGAACTAGTACTGGAAAATTTAAAAATGCCATATTTAGTGTAAAACAAAAATTCCGTGGCAACTAGTCTTCAAAAACATCAATTGGGATAGAAAACTTGTTCACATTAACAGGTATCTAAGACCATTTTCATAGAGGTAATTGAATATAATGTTATCATATTTTCCTTTTAAAGTGTTGAAAGGTTAGTGAATTTAAGATTAAAGCTATGTCTTTAAAAGGGTTTGAAAATGTTTCTTATTTCAGTGTGATTTAGAATTTCTAACTTTTCAAATCTTTTTCAATTACTAGTTTTAAAATTGATTAGTATGTTTACCCGAAATTGGATAGCAAAGTTGAGAATTCAAACACACAATTTATGTTATAAATATTAAAGATACTTTTATAAAAACTAATTTTCATTACTTAGTTATTTCTTATCTAAAAACACACATTATATTCTGTGCTAAAAACCTTTTCAATAAACCATTCTTTTTAACCTTCTTTCTTGTAAAAAAGTACCTACACTCCAAAAAAACTTTTTCAATAAACTATACGCCTTGACTTTCTAGTTTGAAAATAAGTACCTACATCCTTTTAGATATTGCATCATTCAGATATATTTCATTCATTAGTTGTCTATCTTCAAAGGGCAGTAATAGGTAGTAAAACATAAAAGGTGACGATACCTTTTTTTGCTTTATTTCATTCCCAAATAATAATTTACAATAAATTTAATGTTTTTTTGCATCTCTTTAGTCAGCGAGTTCAGATCCGTTCTCCCTCTAAATTGTTTCGAGCAATTGGAAATCAATATAAGTAATTTAGATTTTATTCAATCAATTTTTATTTCTCGAAAAATTTGTTGCATACTACCGGTACATAGATAAAAACTTTTATTGATACTTTTAAAATCGTGTATTCCTACTTTTTGTCCTTCATCATTCATAGTCATTTAAAAATTCTCTGATAATAATTGAACATTTTCTGGTACATCTTTTGAATAAATTTCAGACTTCCTATTATAGGAAAGTCAAATGCGTCCTTATAAATTTATCTCTACCATAATTCAGACAGCAAATTATTTCTTTACCATATCGCATAGGAACTTTATAGTCCATAGAATTTTAAGTATCTGTACTTTGTCACAGTATTATATAACATAAACAGAATAAAGGTACATGTACCCATATACTAAAAAGATCGGTAAATCAATTTCATTTATGAGATTGTCCCGAAGTGTTCGTCGGAAAAGTCAAATTTTACTTCTTCCTATTTACTAAACAATGTAATTTGTTACAATATTGGTATTATTCTCTTTCTTTTATCAAGGTGGGTGTATTAAGTTCTAAAAACTTAGGGTGGTTTTTTTTTGGACAGACATATGAGCAGTAAAAATGTCTTTCAAACCTCTTATACTGAGATGAGTGTAAATGCAAGCAATAAAAGTATGACTTTAACAATTTAGACACTGAAAGTTTTTTTTTTTAAATGGATGGGCAATACACGGTTCCCATATTTTTCCTTGACTTAATTTATAACACCTTCTCTGTTCAATGTTATTGCTAAGCTCAAAATTCAAAACGTTTATTTCATCAGTAGTATCTTTATTGGCTTATACATTACATATATTGCCACATATAACATTTCTTTATAAACAATGGTTAACAGGTGTTACACAGGTGCTATTTCATAATTTTATACAAATATATAGGGGAAAAAATGCAAAAAAATGCGAGCAAAAACAAAAAAAAAGTACAAAGAACAATGCAGGTGTCTTTTTTGTATTACACATGACTGTATTAATACTACTGTATGATAAAGTTTTCCCTCTTTTTAAAACATTCAAACACAAATTTCCCCAGTTTTTTAAGTATATTTTCTGAATCTGAATTAAGTAATTCAATAAATTTTGCCATACTAGGTCTTACATAATAATATTTTTTAATATATTTTTCTCTTAACTCGGTATAGAAGTTACATATTAGAACAAAATGATATTCATCTTCTATTTCGTTTGATGTACAAAATATACATTTTCGTTCACTTGTGGGACATTTTTTATCATATCTGCCAGATTCAATGCGTAGAGAGTGAGAAGATAATCTAAGTCTACTTACTGATTTTCTGTGCTTTTCATAATATATATAATTAAGATAGTCAGCCTGTTGTAAGGTTGGGTTTAGATATTTAAACAATTTAAGAGGATGAGCATTTTCTATATCTACTCTCAGTTTTTGAAAAAAAACAATCAGTTTGTCTTTGTTCAAAATACATATAAAAGACCTTCTCATTTACTGACTCGGGGAAATACCATACATCTCCAAAACTATGAGACAAAAGGGCCTGTTTTACAAAAATAATCCAATTTGAAACCATATTCTTAGAATCATAATTATAAATTGACCTTATTAGACAGTTTTCTGATCTGAGAATCTTAAACCAATATTTAATAATGCGAAATGTTCTGTTACCGGTTTTCTTCCTAATTCACCATAAACAGCCGGGGTACATGTCGACGTTTTTACTCCCAGTAGTCTTTTACCAAATTTTAAATGTATTCTTTCTAATTCTTTTGCTGGTATAAAGCCCCACACTTCTGCCCCATTATTCAATTTTGAAACACATGCAACGTTGAAAAGTTCGCACACTGTTTTACAGTCTAGAGACAATTTTTGAACATTACTCATAAATGCATTATATAATTGAAGTGTTTTTTCTGATGTTATTTTTACATGTTTATTAAAAAGTCCATTTGAAGAAAACACCAACCCAAGATATGCAAAACTATCTACAATTTCAAGGGCATTATCACTATATGTGAAATTATATCCCCTTTTTGACTGACCTTTTTGAAAAATCATTACTTTCGTTTTATCTACATTTACACTAAGGCCCCACTTTTGACAGTATGTATGTAGAACGTTAAGGTGGTTTTGTAACCCATTGGGCGTTTCGCTTATTATGGCTAGATCATCTGCAAATAGTAGTAAAAAGATATTTATTTGGTCAATTTGGATGCCACATGCTAAGTTTTCATGAAGAGTTGTCTCCAGATCCTCCAAAAATAATGAAAATAATATTGGAGATAGAATATCCCCTTGTAAAACACCTAGTTCATTATCAAAAAAATTTGTGAGGGAACCATTAACACGTACACAACTTTTCACATCTTCATACATAGCTTTAAGAATTCTTAACATTTTGCCATCAATACCTAGCTTTAATAATTTGTAGAACAATGCATTTCTATCCACTGTATCAAATGCTCGACAATTTCATCTTATAGACGATACTTGGTCAATTTAGTTCTGATACTTCTCCAGAGAGACAGGCGACTGGTTTTCTAAGAAAGTCAAATATACATAAACTTCAGCCATATTTTGGAGGATCTAGGAAGAAATGTCATGCCTTCAAGGTCTTTTTTTTTTTGTTTTTTTGTTTAAGGTCTTGAAAGACTAGTTACTTGCTTAAAATAGTTTAGTATATCTGATACGTTTTACTTTAGATTAGGGGACAAAGTAAATGTAATTTGATTATTATATTCATGCAAACTAAGTACCAAACAAAGACCCATTAGCTTTATGTATAAACGAAAAGGGCTGAATAATTCTCTCTTTTCATTATATTTGCTGGATGTGAATAGCAGCGTCCATATTCATAAAATATATGCTTTATAGTTTTGAGCTTTGTTCTTTCTTCTAACTTGGTCTTTTTTTTTTGGTCAGCAATATACCTTGACGTAAGACATTGATATTTGCCCATTTTGGACAACTGTTGTTTGATTTTATTTTATTATTTATCAAGAATGTATATATCTTGTCTCTTTTCCACAGTGGAAACATCAAAAGACAATTAAGTGGAAATCAAACATCTTTAAAGATGAATGCATTTCACACACTTTTGTTTATTTTCAAGGTTGGGAAGATGGAGACAGCCTCTCTTTCAAAACAACATCAAATGACGCGTGAAACCGCCGATAATGTCCATTTGGTAACTGGGGGCGGTGGTTACACAGGATACAAACTAGGCAAACGGTTGGCAGACATGGGAAAGGAAGTTATCTTAGTAGATATAGTGCCTCCAGAATGGACATTGACGAACAAAATGTCATTTATACAGGTAACAAAAGGGATATTTCTAATCTTAACTTGATAATAATTTATTAGGTTAATGAATCTCTAAACTCTAATAAAAGGTGCTTTTTGGACTTAGTTTATTTACTGCATTCATTTTCTTTCGTCTTTTTTCGAGAAATGTGAATAATTTATTTGGGTCTGTTTTAGTGTGATTTGACTCAAGAAGATGCTGTAGTGACATCTTTAAAAGGAGCAGATTGTGTTTATCATTTAGCGTCATATGGAATGTCTGGCAAAGAACAGGTGCAAAGCTGATATTCATTATTATAAAACGGTTATGGTTTTGAAAATTCACAGCAATAGTATATTTTTTAAATAATGAAGTACAAAGTTTGCAATTTTTAAAATTTTCAAAATGACCACCATTGTCATGAAAATAAAGGAAACTAAGTTTAATTCTCTCATATTACCGGGGTATTTTGTGTTTAGTGAAACTGATTTTCACAAAAAAATCAAAACCTTATGGACAAATTTCGAGCTTTTCTATTCTACTAAAATTATAGATTTTTCTCTAATTTTACTTTTTATGGCTCAGGTGATCACCTTCCCTGAAAAATTCAATCTTCAATTTTCTATTATAGTTTAACACCAAATTGATTGAAGAAGTTAATATTAAAGGAACAGAAAATGTCATCAAGGGTAAAGAAAACACATTTAAATCAGCTTTTTGACAAAATCACTACTTTAGATATATTGTTTTACATCAAAGAAATTTTTCTCTCCATTTCTCAGCATGCTTAATACACGGCATTAGACGTTTGGTATATACCAGTTCTAACAACGTAGTCTTTGGAGGTCAGGAGATTTGTAATGGAGACGAGTCCTTACCCTATCTGCCATTAGAAAATGTAGGTTCTTGTTTTCCTTAATCTAAATAAGTTTAAGATTGATAAAGTGTATACAATATATGGGATTCTGTATAGGTTAAATCAAAATGTTATTGTTGGTGTTTTTTTAATTTACGAAAATCAACCGGAATTCTAGGTTGAAATTTTACATGCAGGTTTAACCCGTATATACATGTAGCATCAACCATCTTGTGAACCAGTATAATTTTAATTTAATGAAATGATTTTGTATACACCTGTATAAATAAAGGCATGAATTCGGATTCATTTTAAATAGTAACATTTTATTTTTGCAGTTCATTGACATCCATTTGCTTGTCGATTATATGACAGAGATGAAGAATAAACTATTGATAAAATTTGCCATCAAAACTAGTACATGTATTTTCTGGGACATTCTGACACAATGAGCAAATCTTTTGCATGTAGTTTTTAGATCATTATTCAAAAACAAAGAGAATTGCTGAACAAAACGTATTGGAGGCTGACAAGAAGAATGTACTCCGGACATGCGCACTACGTTTAGGGGGAGTGTATGGTGTAGGAGAACAACGTCATATACCAAGAGTGGTGGTGAGGCAAAGATGCTTTCAATGCTAGTTAATGCATATCTTTGAAATCTCGTTTTCTCTATACATTTTTTTCATTTTCAAATATATGATGATTTAGTTAAGTTAGAAAATCAGTAATGTAAAATATTTTTTTTTACTATCTGATTTAAATTTTCAGATAATTTGAAATATAACCGTGCCTCATTTTATGTTGTGTTTCATGTTAATCAATTGGTGAATTAAGCATATTGATTTAGAAAATAGAAAAAAATAAGCATTTAAGAACATATTTGCAATATATAAATAGTTTCAATGTACAGAAATATCTCTGGTTTCTGACTTCAAAAATGTATCTGTAATGATCGTTCTAAAATAAGCATCATTCTTACAGAATATGGCACAGACAGGAGTTATTCAGGCATTGTTCGGCACCGATTCTCTAACAGACTTTTTACACGTGGACAATATGGTTCAGGCCCACATCTTGGCTGCCAAAGCATTGACCGAAGAAAAAGGCTACATAGCGGTGTGTACAGGAGTCATTTGGAAAAATGTTGAAAGATCATTAGAGAATGAATCTTTACATAATATGAAAAAGCATTATTCACTATTTCAATTTCTTTAGGCAGGGCAGGCCTACTTTATATCTGATGGGGCACCTATTAACACGTTTGCCTTTTTCCGTCCACTTGTAAGTAACACTATGAAACAGAGCCATTTTGAAACCTTGTCGATTGGTGTCCTTCAGTTGTTAATGTATATACGCAAGTTGTATGTAAATAAGACTGTTTTACATGTAATAAAACCGTTTCTTCTAGATAGAAGGCCTGGGCTACTCGTTACCAAGGCTCAAAGTTCCAGTCTGGTTGATGTGCTCTATTGGTAAGCAATATATTCATTTTACTTATGCATTGATGGCGAATTCAGAATGTGGTACAGAAATGTATATATTTCTTGTTATCTCGAGCAGCATGGATGATTGAGATGGTTCTTTACATAGTGTCAGGGATCTACCACTTCCAACCTATTTTAACAAGAATGGAGGTAGGCAAAACACAAAAGCAAGTTGTGTGCTATATGTTTAGCATTTATCAATTTTTGGATTAAATTAAATGTAACTATTCTTTTAGGTGTACAAGATGGGCATCTCCAATTATTTTTGCATCAACAAAGCATCACGTGACCTCGGATATAAGCCAATCAAACAAAACGAAATATCTGACATACGTGAGGATTTCATAAAGCGAGGATTCAAAGCGAAACAGAGGAACATGTCAATAGTGATCAGTTTGAATTGGTGTGCTTATTTTATCTTTTATGTGGCGTTTACGTCTTTTGTTGTATCTTGCTTCCCAATGTGGAAACTACGCAACATTTGAAGAAAAAACAGGTTACATATAGTTTTCGATAAACAAAGCTATATAATATTTGGAGTCAGAGAAACACTTTTAGTGCGAAGTTGAAAGTATTTTTACTTATTTAAAAATTGTTTTACTCCTTTTCTTTTCAGAACATTTGCACAAAATCTTAACTTTTATATATTTGGTTAAGATTATTTTAGTTGAGAACTCTAATAGACAGCAAATTGTAAACAAGGATTTATCAATATACTAACAAAAAAAACAATTATCATGATATACAAAACACTTTTGACTGAGTGGCCGAAAATTGGTTAGATGTGCATATGTACTATGCACTGAAATCGATTTTCAAAATTACGTTAACTGTATGACATCACGTTGGAAACGTGTTGAAAGTTAAAACAGGTCATATTGATGATGCCAGGTTTTTAAAATATTTTAGTACAACTTAATTGATGCACCAGGTATTACTGGTCTTTTTTTATATACATACATATACTATATATTTACATTAACTTCCAGTGCCCGTGTCACGTTGTGATACTCTCACTCGGCCACATGTGCGTCGTAATCCTAATTATTCAGCATTTTCACCCCCATGAAAATATTGTGAGAGTTTGTCAAGATTCTTTCGTACATACATGTATTCACATTTACCAATTAAAATCAACCGGCCTCGGTGGATTCTATAAAAATCTCCAATGGAAAATGTGTTTCGTTGACTGGAACTTAGGGGTTGAATTCGTTCCTATAGTCCCGCTAATCTCGACCAGCTAGGGGCTGCCCTGTTTACATATGAAAAAGATAAGTGCACCGAGGAAGTCTATGCAAAGGAGAATCAAAAAATTAACGTCTCTTGTAAAATGCTTTTAAAACGTTATCCTGGTTGTCTTCAAATATGTGAGGATGAAAATTTTAGTTAATAGTTTATTTAGTGATAGGTCTTTCAACAATCTGTTTGGTCCTTAAGATGAGACCTTAAAAACCGAGGCCCCGTGTCACGGCTGGCATTGGCACGATAAAGATCCCTCACTGCTCAGTAAGATCCCTCACTGCTTAGTAAAATCCCTCACTGTTCAGTAAGATCCCTCACTGCTTAGTAAAATCCCTCACTGCTCAGTAAAATCCTTCACTGCTCAGTGGCCCCGAGTGCCGAGTAAAAGTAAAAATTTGAGGCCTTCCTCCGGTATATGGTGACGTTTCTATATGAGTGAAAAATTATCGAATAAGACGTAAACCAACATTTATTCAATCAATCCAATTGGAATTTTTATGGGATTGCGCCCCCGTATTTTGGTATTCAATTGAAGGGAAAAAATTGCTGTGTTCTTCAACTCGACGATAGTTACCTCCATTCATGTGTCGAGTCGAAATAAACTAGTAAGCTTGAATATGCTACAGACTCTGGTACAACTGTTTAATATTTGAAAAAAAATACTTTAATGGTAGACTTACAACAAATCTTTATGATAAACGTGGTGATTTCAATTGTTAACTTCCCCTACTTGTGTACCAATATACCCCTGTCACCTGCATTTGGGTTTTTATAGCCCGTTCCGAAGGAGAGGGGGTATACTGTTTAACCCTTGTGTGTCTGTCCATAAAAAATTTTTGGACGCAGTTTTTTCAGCAGCTACTCATCGCAGATGCTTGAAATTTTAGCACTTTCTTTGCTGAGGCATGCCATAATATGTGCTTTATTTGCAAATTCGATGTCTACTTCCTGTTTATACGTGCGTCTGCCCGTTCCATATATGAAAAAATTCGTCGCAGTTTTCTCAGCAACTACTCATCGCAGATTCTTGAAAGTTTATGACATTCTTTGCAGAGGCATGCCATATGATGAGATTTATTTTTGTGCAAATCCGATGTTTTCTTCCTGTTAATCCGTGCGTCTGTCCGTACCATACATAAAAATTTTCGTCGCAGATTTCTCGGCATCTTCTCATCGCAGATGCTTGAAATTTTACCACATTCTTTTCAGAGGCATGCCACAGGAAGGGATTATCCGATGTCTACTTCATGTTTATCCGTGCGTCTGTTCGTTACATATATAGCAATTTTTTTGCATTTGTTCTCAACAACTACTAGTATTCATTGCAGATGATGTAGCACATTTCTTGCTGAAGTATGCTGTATGTTGATCCGATGATTTTCACGGACATGGTCTATTCGTAAAAAATTAACGCGTAAAAATTTAAATCACCTTTTTTAAACCAAAATTGGTAAAAATTTACAGCAGTAAAAATAACGCCTTATACGGAAATCAACAAGGTAATTTATTTATTTTTCATTTATTTTATATTTTTTTTTTTTTTGCATTTTAATAAATATTATAGGAAACAACCCATTTAATTTCTTTTTGTAGTCATTATTACTGTTTTTTAAATCTACTTTAAAAAATGTGTTTTTGTTTCTTAAGAAAGCTTTTTTATGCCAACTGTTTACTATCCGGTTCTTTGTAAACTGGCTAGAGACTATAATGTTTTAAGATAATAAATACTGGAAAACTTTAATCTTCTTCGAAAATCTTTCAGCCACCCACAGTCTGTTTTCACCATCTACACAAAGTCCATGTGGGTAAGAAAGATCATCCTCTTTTGTTAGAAGGTAAAGCATAAAGTGACCATTCTCGTCAATCATGTGGATCACTCGATTGCTGAAATCAGCAATAAGGATATGTCCAAAAGTATCGCAGCATATGTCACGGGGAGTAAATTTCTTGAAAGTGCCGAGTTTCAGGTTTCCATCATACATGAATCTTAGGTCAAAATCGACATCGGTCACTATAACGTTCCTCATGCTTTCCTCCGTGATACAGATGTCATTGTTAATGTTTTCACACACTGCTGTTGGATCCTTCAAGAATTCGTGTTCGAATTCTCTTTCTATGTTTCCTGTTCGGTCGCGTCGGACGACCTTACCTTGGGGACAATCTTGAAGACAAACGATGATGTCATCAGATCGTGTGCAGCAAATGCCATTTGGTTTGCCCTCTGTGTGGCAAAGTACCTCTATAGATTTATCTGACTTTATCGCTCTAATAAGTTTGTAATTATAGTCAGTGTACAGTATGGTTCCATCACACATCACTGCTAGTCCTGTCGGCATACCGTGTCCAGATTTTGTTTGAACGTTATCTAAACATTCTCCTTCTTCGTTAAAAATGTACAATTCTGGACCTGTTCCACTTTGAAGAATCCTGTTTGAATGATAATACCTCACATAAAGAGTGTACTTAGATCGTGAATCGATGTCAAATAAAAGTTTTGGTTTAAACATTAATTTTCTCTCTTTTTGTCTTCTTCTCTCGATTATTGATGATTTAAGATTGCCAAATTGGGCTTTAATTTCTTTGCTATTTGGTATACCTTCGAGAAATCTGGGTGCTCTGAATTTAGTCTCTGAGTAATCAGACTTAATTCCAAAGCCTTCTTCATCTCTATAAGTAAATACTCCTTCTATATTGGGGAACTCATCCTCACCATACGGTTTTAATAAATTCGATTCTTTTTCAACTTTTTTCAAATATTCCAAATCTCTAAATTCCATCTCATTTGTACAATTTAGAGTTTCTCGCAGAATTTCATTTACCATGGAATGGAGAATCTTTGCCTGTTCTTTAGCTCGAGTTCGTATGATTCCATAGCCCTTTCGTAGCTCAGACCAAGTAGAACAGTCTGTAGAGGGAATATCTTTTAAATGGTACAATCTCTTTGGGTCATTCTTGGCAGCAGTTGCTTCCTCCATCAGTTCAAATAGTTCACCTATCTTGTGTTTGTTATGTTCTTGTTTTGTGCATTTCAAACAGACGGGGACTTTGCAATCAAGACAAGCATATGCACACAGATATGGTCTATGATTAAAACACATCATGAAAGGTGCATCTATTCCTCCGTATGTAATTGCTGTTTGTTTCACTGACACAGAGCAATTATTGCAACATCCACATCCTTTCTTAGAGTCCGGTAATTTAGGGGGGTGATTCTCTTTCTCTCCTCCTCTGCTATCTTTATCAATCAAAAACTGTTTCAAGAGAAAACGATTTAAAACTTAAGACAGTGTGTTGAGAAATGAAAGATGGGAGCATTTGTACATACTGAAGATCAAATGACAATATTGATGTTTTGCTGACGAAAGTTGTATTCATTTTATTTCTAACCGTAGCATCATTATTTGTTCTTTTTCACACTCAAAGAAGGACGGGGAAGTATTTGATAAATAATGTTTTGTGTTCAAACCGAAAGTTGCCATATTAAAGTTATATTATACACAAGTTGTTTACATACAAGGCCTACTTTTCATGTAACTGACCTTCATCATGTGCTGGATTGAAGAAATACAGAAAATAATCGTCTGTATCATGGCCACTGGACCTATAAACATTTTGACCACCGCATGTTATTTCCCCACAAGCAAGTCAAGGAAAGGGGAACAACTCGATCAGTTTTTAGTACAAATGCAACTTAGATAAAAAATATAACATAATAATTTTGAATTTATCAAGAAGGGGTCAATACAAAATTTAATTTTGTTATCATCTTCACGTGATAAATACATAAATGCAGTCATGTGTAGGAGGGGGCCTATAGATATACAAATATTAAAGAAAATAAAAAAAAACGCGTTCATTAGTCATGTTAATCCTGAATTGAACACCTACCACTTTTACCCCGTTATGCCTGCCGATATCGATCAGAGTATAGGGTTGAGTGCCGAGAATAAGTAACAAATTGAAGCCCTTCACTGATAAAGGGTGGCGTCTCCATGAGTGAAAAATAATCGAAAGAGACGTTAAACAACAACAAACAAAATAATTAACACTGATGATAGAGGGGTTAATCCTTTTTTCCAAAATGATATTTTGATATCAGAAAATACATTGAAATATTAAAACGACGCCCCTTAAATTATTAATATCAAGAATTTCTTTTTTGATATCAGAAAATACCTCAAAAATATTAAAACGGCGCCTCATAGTGTACATGCATCTCTGCTAAGCTGTAAACACAATTCATTAAGACCATGAAATTTAATTTTATAAATATAAAAAAAGATTCTAATGAAACTTCTCCATCACTTACAGGGGCCACAAATATTATCCCTCTATATGACAAGACAAACATTACAGATATTAAATATACAATTAAATGTGATCAGAACTTCTACAGCTTTTATCATATCGCCTAGATAGGGGAACTGGATGTGTTAATGCCATATGCTGCATACATCTTTATTGTCTATATTGTTATGGCTGCCTGGAGTACAAAGTAAGCATTCTCTGTTTGTCTTATACACGTACAATTTACTTCATCTCATAGTATTCAAGTTTTATTAATGCCAACTGCATTAATTGATCGAGCTTATTTTTTTTTATTTTAAAAAATACGTTCTTTTGATAAAGCTTATTCTATTATTATAAATTTCCAATTTAGATATCCTTATGGCAAACTGTAATAGTTATATAGTTTTGCAAAAGAAAAAAAAAACATGCAAACAATTTTGAAAATTAACATTGGACCAAACATTTTTAACCTCAAGTGAGCTTTTGTGA